CATCCAACATGTTTCAGAAGTGTAAGCACATTCTGTAGTGCTCACTCAGCTAACGCCATCTTCGAGGAAAACTTTGACCAAGCCACTACCCGAGAACCCTTCCATTAAAACAGCAGCATGGTATCTATAAGCCTGCATGCCCCTTGGTTTCTTTCTTCGGACGTTTTAAGCAGAACAGACTTTCAATTGCCCCTCTTTTTTTTTTTTTTTTTGCAAGTAGCTATAAGTTAGATTTATGAAGACAAAAAGACTTCTTACAACTGTATATTTTGAACAGATTTATGACAGGACTACAGTATCCGCATGGAGGGTCCACAAGGCAGGAATACAGTAAGAGTAACAGGAGAGTGTCCTGTAGACATTAAATAGTACCATTCTTTCCACATTCATAAATCGTAAGTGCCTAAGGTTGTATACTGCTGGTTATAAATTATGTAACTGAGTTCTCTGTGTGTAGGGGGTAAGACTTAAAATGAGAAATCATCTCTATAAGAACTTATGCCTTTCATATTAAAGAACCTAAGATTCAAATTACTTCACTAAAACAGTATTATTTCCTATTTTAAGGCTTTTTTTTATCCGGGTCTCTATGGAGACTAAAACAACAAAACTCATATGCATACTAATCAGTCTTCAGAAAACCAGAGAAAATTTCTCACATTAATTTACAAACACCAGCTCATGACGAATTGATAGCCACAAACATCTAGCTTAAAAAATTCTCAGTGGCAAAACAACATATTTGACCAAGCGTTCTAATCTGGTTTGAGCTTTACAGCAGAGGTTAAGGCACCTCGCAAGCTTTACAATTTTATTACACCTGCGGTAGAACCAAAAAACCCGAGTATCAAACTGAGTATAGTTAATCGAACAATTTTAATGCTATTTTTATGTATATAACCCGATACATAGTATAAATCTGTATTTATATGTCACATATAGGCACACAAAACCCTCAGTAGAAATGTTCAGCATTTCTAGTAATTAGAGTGGTTGTTTACGATCTTCTGGGCTATGGAATGAGGCTCAAAACTTTCTTGCTATTAGTCACTACATTGGTAATCTGATTCCACACTAACTAAAGCAAAACCAAAGACTATCAGGGACTTCAGCAGATCCTAAAGCTACATATAAAAGATAATTGCATACTCAGGGGAAAAATCCTGGAACAGGTTAGCTCATGAGAAGTAGCTAATTATTCCATGCTAGCTCTCTCGCTGAACACTCTCACTGTGCAGTTGCAGTGCCTTTGCACTGTTTGGATTAATCCACTTCGGATGCTCAGAAGGCCAATTAATCGCCTCTCAGCTGGTGTAAGCCCTTTTAGCTTTGCTTGAGCTAAATTAGCTCACACAGCTGAGGATCCAGACCCCTCTTGTCCACCTCCTTCGAGCAGAGGTGGCACCAGGCAGTAGCTGTGCCGCCATCTACCGTAGGTTTTGCATAGCACTTCTTGGTCCAAAGCCCACTCCAGCGATTCTTCCCACCAACACCCAGGCTCAACGAGCGAGACTCCGCTCCATAGGTATGCACCTAAACCTAAACAATGGTCTGACCCCGCAAGCCTTCTCAGGCAGATATCTCTCCACAGACTGCAGGTTAGCTGCTGCTAATTAAGCTTCACATATTGTGTCACTGTTCTTGAGCTACTAACATCCATCCTGTAAATCTGAAGTCTGTGTGCTTCCTAGCACTATTGACAGTTGCCTTAAAAGTCAATCAAAAATAGTAAAACACTCAAAAACATGTTTAAGTTTTCCTGAACCAGCTTATCATGTTACATGTACCTCAGTGGATGCCATCCACTAAACCCAAAGAGTTTCACTATCTTCAGGAAAGCTTTCTGGGTGCAAGCCCGAATCTGCACACATGCAGCCCTCTCTCCATTTTAATACATGGCTTAAGCTTCTCTTGGTGTTCCCAGATCTCAAGTTGTAGTGTAAGCTTTTTTGATTGCTCTTTGGAGGCTTTTTAGTTTTGTTTTTCCCTGAACAAGCACTTAAGTCACCAGAAAGCAGTGCAGCTCTCCTTATTCACACATGCAAACAGCTCCAGCAAGAACAGGGGCAAAGGGCTTCACAGCTGTGGTGCTGCAGAATAAGCTAACAGTTGCATTTTGACAACAAACTTCCAGATGTAAGGAACAATAAAACAAAACCTGAAAAGTGTCCTACTTCCATCTAGTGACAGACACCCTCCAGCTATGCCAAATGCTGCAAGTTCCTCCAGCCACCTGACAAAGCTGTCAGAAGCCGCTTCGATTCCATTACCCTATAGGTAGAGAAAGACCAATGGAAGAGTTCCAAGCACTCAAGTTGGAAAACATCTGCCAGAGTAAACTTCAATTTACCACACTCTACACAATATTTATAGAGCAAATCTACGAATGCTGCTTGAGCCATTTGAAGGCTGGAGACTAAATTCTGTTTTCTGAATGTTTATTCTGACTTTCTCCAACTGTTCTTACTTGACAGTGCTTAATTAGTGCCAGCCATGCAAGCTGTTGTCTAATTACACAACACATCATGATCTCACAGCCCTACAGATAAGGCTTTACTGCAGCATAAACGATTTTAAACATTAGCATATGAGAAAAAGAAAATTAGCTTCCAAATTAGAATGTTTCAAAGTCTTGTATGTCAATAGTCCTATTATTTGTTTAGGTAAGCATGGTTTCGAAAGGGGAACATATTAGAGATTAAATAGCCTTTAATGTTAAAGAGGCTACAATTTAGTGGGCTGTCTGGCTAACCCTTTATGCATGACAGAAATCTATTCACATGTAATTACATATTTTAGACCATCCTGAAGATACCATGTGTTTGCATGGAACCAGGCCAGCTGGGGATTATCAAGGTGCAGCTACACCTGAGGTTATGAAAAGCACAGAATTTGTGAACCACTTGCAACATTTTGCTACACAGACACCCTTGAAATAAAGGCACAGTAAATATATTCTTAAATGGTCCCAGACTACGTACTTCTACAGAAAACACAATTCTGTACTGCAATATACTGACTATTAGAGAAGAACATACAACTGTTTGACTTCTTTTCTGCTAACAAGATCCTAAATGTTTTGTATTTAAAGATTTAGTACACTAGGTCTGACTTTGTGATGCAAGTGCGGTTAGCAAGTTGCAAGTTTTAGGATGATGGGAGTCCTTTCTTCACTGCACATAAACTTGAGGGACAAGATATCACTATGTATAATAAAGGCATTGTTTCGCTTTTATAGGAAAGAAACTACGTTCTCCTCTCTTTCAGCAGATACTCTGCAGATGCGACAATAACCATGACACCACCAAGAACGCCGATTCTCTTTCTATGCACTGACTGGAAATCTAGGAAAAAAGCATCACACCGTATGGCTGCAGGGGGTTGTTCTTGCATCTAGACTGGGAGAGTAGAAAGACATGTATGTGCTTTTCAGCGTTTTCTGCCTCTTCTTGACAAGATCTCATAGAAGCTCAAGCATGTCTGTGCAACTTTACTCATGAAACAGTTCTGTTGGTTCAGTGGGACTGCTCAGGTGAGCCGCTACTTCTCCGAGTACACTTCTGTCTGACTGGGCTCCTCACAGCCTTCTCGGCAGCAATGCTCTCTCTACAAAGAATGGCTGGTGTTCTCAGAAATGCACACAAAGTTTCGGAATACTGCGTTAGGGAAATGATGCTGTCCGCCTCCACAAAAAAAAGCAATCTAAGAGACACAGCGCTAGGACTTGATCCCACATAAATTCAAAGCGAAGCCTTCATCATAGCTCTGTTTTTCGAGAATTTGGCTTCCTATGACATGCAGAAAGGGAGGTGGTACGATTCAGCTGCTTTGACATCTAAAGCTTTTCCAAATGTTAAGTGCATGGTAAAGTGTGAAGCTGCAAGGGGGAGCAAGTGAAGTAGTGACATACGATACAGCAGCCCTCTGCTGCCAGTTTTTAAGCCTATGTTACAGGTATTTAATAGAAATACAGCTGAATTAACAGCAACGTCTGTCACATGGCGTGGCAACCTGCTGAAGTGCTCCATGCTTCACCCATCAGCTAGCAAGGGAGCAACTGAAGTCACTTCCAGTTGTTTTAATTTAACAGAAGATTTATCCCCAGGTTTATCTGGATTTGTGTAAAGCAACCCAAGGACCAAAACGTGGTTCCCTGCCAGCGGCGCAGGGCAGAGGGTTCCCTCCAGCACTCGCCCAACAAAGCACGCTCCCGTAGCGGGCCGCAGTCACTTCAGAGTCGCGACGCCATATACTGTGATTTACTACAGTCACCCCGGTTTGAGACTGCACAGGCAGGAAAAGTGAACAAAGGTCACATTTCCAGCGCTGACGGCCAAACCTGCGTTACCAGAAGCGCGCTATGACCAAAAGCCTAATTAGCACCGCAGAAGGGCTCGAGGCGTCGCCCCCGGGAGCAGCCCCGCCGACTCTT